AGTTTATTCATGAAACTTTTTTTGTTCATAAGTTTTTTATAAACAATGAGCGACGGATAAAACCTTCATATTATTATTCAGGGAGGTGACCTTGATAACATATGTCAAAATTGTTGAGATCGGAAAATAGTCCGTATAACTGCATAATTACCAATATTTTTTATTACGTCGTTTTTTTAATGAGAAATTTTTGCCGATCTCATTTTTTATCAAAATGTCAACCTGCGTACGAGACGCGTTTGAAATATTATTTCTTTTCCAGAAATATCACGAGACACAGATAAATAAAGGTTTTTTTCATTAAAATATCTAAAATAACATCTAAAATATTGCGAGAAACAAAGATTTTTATTAATTCTGTGAACGAGAGCGCACGATATATTTTTCGTGCGATGACATTTCCGTACCAATGTTTGATCGCGCAAAATCAACATTTACGCGTTTATTAACATATAGGTGGAGACCCCGTATAAATCTTTATGATTTTAATATGCGCGCTCTAAATATGCGATTATTTGAGAAAAGAGAAAACTTCGCGGTTTAATAATAATATATAATATATTAAAAAACAAAAATAATTTCAAATAAAAGTGACATTTTATTTTAGCAAGTGACGCACACGTATTGCTCATTGCGACGCGTTTTCATTTTAATAATATCAAAATTTTTAGATTTTGTAATAAACGCGCACTTTTTTTTTTTTTTATCTCGTTCCCGATCGAACTCCGCCGAAAAAAACCACGCAAGGAAAAGGCGCAGAGCGGAGTTTAGACGTCATCGTCAGAAGTCACGGTGCACGTTTCGAGGAATTATCTCCCGCTATGTCTCTCTCGTTTTACGCAAATTTCTCACGGAATTCGCGTTTCTTTGCGCGAGTCGAGCAAAAGTCCTGTCTGTATAAAATCTTTCACCCTTCTCGGAATTTCGTGTGTTCAGAGTTCGCGAAACGCGAGTCCTCGCACGCGGCAGTCGCGACTCGCTAAAAACCGATTTCGCATCTTGAAAATCCGAAACGAGAGATCACCGAAGTGCGAATAGAGTTACTTTGCCAAGTCACTGGATATTACAACAAGCAACCGAGCGTTGCTTGTAATATTTACTACTTTACGAGCGCAAAAAAACTAGCCATTAAAATTAACGGACCGGAGCACAAGATAATTAGACGCACAAATCAAAGCCACAGCTAACACGCTCGTCTCCCGCACGATACCAAAGTCCCGTCGTCACTTTCATTCTCCCGCGATATACAAAAAAAAGGTTCCGCGAACTATACACGTCAATGGATGAATTATTCAGCAACAACGGTTGCACAACACAGTTGAGAGATTTATGAAAACAGTGTATCATTCGCTCTCACAAGTGACAATTCTTGTGATATGCGAACAATCGCTCTGTGTTTTCTGAACGCAACCTGTGCGCTGATCGATGCGCACACACGTCTCTCGCGCGCGAGGAACTCGATTTCTCGATTCCTCGTCAAATTTCGACTTTCTCGCGCGTCGCGTCGTCTTAAGTGCACCGTGTCTGAAGTTCAATTATGTGCGAGGCGAAGTATAAAAGGCGATCGAATCCACCCCTCCTCCTCCCCCCCTCCTTCCTCCAGTTCTCTTTCTATCGTCAAATTCCAGCTTCGCCGTTTGAAGCTTAATTGCGAGGCGTAATCGAGTCTCTCGGAGCACAATCTTCCGTTGATTTATCTTTTGCCGCTCTCAAACGCGACGAGGGCTTCGTATCAAGTTTCGCGAGAGCGTGCAACGCTGCACTTACTTCGAAAGAGAATTTTTTTTTCAAGGACAGCAGCCTTCGGCCGCGACTCGTCTGTTCGGTTCCGAGGCCTCTTTCGATATTTTCTGCTATTAATATTTCACAAAAATATTAGGAAAAAGAACTATATATATGTATATAAGATATAGAAAAGCACTATTAGCTGGGAGCTTCGAAATATGCGAGAGCATCTTCGCGTCTCTCGCTGAAGAGGGGAAGGTAGAATTATACATCCGCTTTGTGCGCAATTTCTCTCTTTCTGACCCGCGATTATTCCGTAACCCCGCGGTCTTCGATTATTCTCGTTAACGTTCTATTTAGACTTTCTTCCGGTGATAACGAGCGTGTCGCAGTCTCGGCTTTCGTCAAATTCCGCTACTTATCTTGTAACAAATACTTTGTTAGTTACAGAATATGCACTCTCGTCGAGATCGCAGGCCGCAATTGGCAAACGGTCTTGCGATCATCATCTCAATTGCGGTCAGAAAGTTATTCGAAAACTTTTTTTCTAAAAAAAAAAATAAAGAAAAAATTATAGAATTTCCGCGTTAGAAAACAATAAATAAAAAATTCAAATTGTGTGAAATATTTCTTTGCGGCTTGGAATTATATATTAAATGAAAAAAAAACACATTTTGTGTAAATCAATTTTTACAGAGATCTACCTTATTCTCGATTTGTTATATTAGAAAAAATGAAAAACTAATAGAAAAATAAAAAAATTTTACATATTTTTATTCCATATAAAATTATGCAACAATATATATGCACAGAGAGAGAGAGGGTTAATTCCGAAGCGATTCACGTGAGTGTTTTCGCTTGCGCAAACATTGGACACATTATATGTATACAGTCTATGTACTTAATCATCGTGAAAGTCAAATTAATCATGGCAAAACGCGCGGACGCGCGGCAAGCGACCGACCTATCGATCGGGCCGCGCAAAACGATACGTGACGATTCGGGCTTTACGCGCGTCCTCGCAACTCCGGGGTCGAAGCTCTCTCTGTCTCACGTGCACACGTGACGAACGGGGGCGATGAGGTGGTACGTTTTTTTTTTTTTTTTTTCCCCCATCGCTCTTCGTTCATCACACAGGTGTGCACAGGTCGAAAGCTAAATGAAAGCGTGACCGCGACGGAATCCCCGAATGAAGTCACCTCCCGGAAATCGCCGATCGATTTCGGAGAAGGTCGTAGCCACCGTACGGTAGTCGTGACACACGTGCCGTGAGTCCCTCGCCTTTTTTCGCGGAACGAGAACGGTGGGTCGCGTGTGATGCGATCTCCGGTTAATCTCGGTGCATTAGCGAGATTCCCGGATAATAGATGTCGCGAGAAGTGACAATCTCCCGGAAATCTCCCTCGCCTTGCGCGAGG